CCCTTGTTCTCATATATAATGGGATAAAGGGGAGGTAAGATAGTAGGCTGCCCCTAACATTAGGTTGAGAGCAACTTCCGTAGGAGACCTCCAAATTATGAAATGCCCTCCATTGGACTCGATCTCACAACCTCAAGGTTAAGAACCTTGTGCTCTACCAACTGAGCTGGATGGTGTGTGTACTAAAACCAATCTATTAATTTTTGCCTTGTTTTGGTCTGAGTACGGAATGAGCATTGTCGTTGGAGAAGCTGACAAATGAGAAGCTTTTGAGCCTGCACAATGCAAGTACTACTTACATGTTTTGAAACTTATAGCCATACCATAGACGTAGATGAGGTGTTTGAATCTACCACTAATCTCTTGGTCTTAGTTCTCGTGACCCATAATGACTTGTATGTATTTGATGAAAAACAGGTAGCAGAGCAAAACAATGACGATCAGATGGCCTTTTTTTAGTCAACGAGATCACTAACAATATCTAACTGAACAACAAAAACTGCAGGAACAAAGTCCTCAAAATTTTACTCAACCAACCAAAAACAAGCAATCTAATTAAATCCGGAATAAACTACAGCAGCAAAACATGTATGGAAGATACCTTATGTTAATGTTTATGCAGCATTTTGGGCTACAAGCCTCTTCCTAGCTTCCTCAATGATAGATAACTTGATACCCTTGTCCTTGGGAAGGGATACCCATGGCTTTGTTCCTTTTCCGATGGTGAAGACGTTACCAAGACGAGTTGCAAACTCATGCCCAGCTGCATCTTGAACATGGATGGTCTCAAAGCTACCCTTGTGCTTCTCCCTGTTCTTAATCACTCCGATACGGCCTCTGTTCCTTCCTCCAGTCACCATGACAACATTTCCGACATCAAACTTGATGAAATCAACAATTTTGTTGCTCTCAAGGTCCAGCTTGATAGTGTCATTCGCCTTGATCAGAGGATCCGGGTAGCGGATAGTACGCATACGTATTGAGGTATGGAATACCTTTCTGCCCAAATTGGACAGATCCAACCTTGCAAAGCTTAAACTGAACAACAACAAAAAATGAACATTATTGTTATACCTACAGGGTGAAAAAAGCAATTCACCGCTACATTCTAAAGGTGGTAAGAATCAGAAAATATATTTCAAATACTTGACTGCTATAGTTCAAACCTTGGTTTCATCACCAGTTATGGCATGAAGACAGAAACGTCCTTTGGTGTCACAAAGAAGACGGAAGTCCTCATTAGTTTTAGGGATGGACACAACATCTGGAAGTAGGTGATCAAGTATGTAACATTAGATACAATAATCTCGGGATGACAGAGAGAAAGGAGTCAAATCCTACAATTGTACCACTTTAAGCTAAACTAGGAACAAGCTGAGAGACGAGATCACATGCCAATGAGCATTTCCCAACTCATCATGTATTTCATAAATTAGAATAAAAGAAGTCAGTTAATGAGACTAGTGAACGCAAAGGATGGATGTAAGGATACTAAAGCAATGTAGAAAACATAGTAATCAAACCAAATATATTTCATTCAATTGAATGCCAAGTATTAACACAAACAACAGAATCTAGGAATATAGAGAAAGGACACACACCCATGAAACCAGCAAGATAGGTCTTCTCGGTCCGAAACTTCCCATCTACCATAACATGCCTCTGCATGAGAATAGCAATAACTTCTCTGCATGTAAGAGCATACTTCAATCTGTTTCACAGAATGAGAATTAGTGGCAAGCATTCCCTGGATTTGTGTGGTCCAGATGATGGATGTAGAAATAACAAAGTGAAGTGGAATGGTATGGAAGTAAAAGGGATCAAGAAAAAAAACATACAAAAGCTCCACCAAGCTTGTCAAGCATCCAATGCCTAGGGGTATTGAGCCTCGTCAAGTGCTTCTTCAACCCTCTAGCCTGCACAACCAAAGAAAATAAAATGTGTTAATGAAGCTCAAATGTTCTATTCTTCTACGCAGAAGATATATATAAGGCACTTCTAAATCGACAGCAAGGCCACACATTCACGTTACCTTACCAGATCCGATTATGAATAAGGAAAATCACAGAAAGACAATGAAACAAGTTTTTCATAAACAAAGCAGAACTGCTTCATTATATCAGAACTAAAAAAGGGCGAAAGAGAAAATCAAAAGGAAAACATAAGAGAGTGAACACACATTATAAATTATCAGAAAACGAAAGGTTGAGGAAGAAAGAAACTATTACAACATCATCTTTAAACTTATCAAGATTTATAATTTTTTATAATATATAATGATTATTTAGATTAATAAACTTAATTATAATTTTTGAAATTTTAATGATTAAAAATATAATTCCATCATATTTTTTAAGCAGTTGTGTACTTTAGATTGATATTTTTTCTCCATAGAAGTCTATCGTCCGTGTAAAAAACAATAATTCTTTATAATATTTTAAAATTATTAGTTTGGTTCTAGAAAATATATGTTATTTTTATTTTCATTTTAAAAAATAGAAAATATGGAAGAAATCTTGTTTGGTTGTAGAATTAAAAAAAATGATTTTTAAAAAATAAAAAAATATGAAAACATTAAAAAGATATTTTTAGTATTTTCATTAAAATTGTTTTTGAAAACTAAAAAAATAGTAAAACATATGATATAGATTTTTAACTTACACGAGTTTAAATCCTTCTAACAACAATTTTTTAACTTAATGGTAGCTTAAATACCCAATTTTTTATATATAAAAAAACAATGTGGTCCTTGAATTTTTTTTAACCTCAATGTGGTCCTTAAACTAAACTTTTTTAATAATTTATTTTTTTAATATTTTATATTTAATATATTGAACATCTTAATAATTATTTATATTTAAATAATATCTTAAATTTTCTAAAAAAATTAAATAAATCCTCAAACTTTCTAAAAATTTAATAATACCCTCGAACTTAGCCAAAAAATCAATTAATCTCATCTAGCACAACATCGTCCATCGTGTACTACCACAACAATATCGTGAACTATCATATCAACATTGTAGATTGTCATGTAAGTTTCGTGAACTGTCATGTAAGCATCGTAATGATAAACGTTTGATTTCATTGATCAAAATGCAAAAATCGTTTAGGGGCTACACTAATTCCCCCCCCCCCCACGTTTGAGGGTCTCATTTACCACTACACATATATATTATTTTTTGACACTTTTGTGTGCTCTTACTTATAACAATATTTTTTGTATATTTTTTAAATTTAATTTATGTCCAATACGCTTTAATGTTATATTCTTATTAAAAACTAAAATAGTTTTGTGTAATAGAATTTATTATCAACTTTATTGTTTTATATTTACATAATTCACATATTAAATTTATGTAATGATTTTTTAATAATTTTAATTTAATTTAATTATTTAATAACTATTTGTTCATTTCTACAAATATTAGATGCCAAATACATTTTTCTATCTTTATTTTTGTATTCAAATTTTTATTTATATTAATCAAACATGTTTTCTAATTTTCAAAAAACTAAAACTAAAAATTATTTTATGAAAATAAAAAGTTATTTTATGAAAATAAAAATAGAAAATATTTTTTTAAACCAACCCAATGCCATTATTAGAGACAAACAATAATCTTGAACATAAAATCTTAAAATAATATATGCATATTTTCATAACTTGAAGTTTTAGGTTCAATTTGTGAAGGTAAAGAATTGAAATGATAAAAAAAAATATTGTAATGGAAAATATGTTCTCATTTTGGATATATAATAACTTGATTGCGAGTGATGATTAAGAATAGAGTAAATTACGTATTTAGTCATTCAATTATCACTTTAATTTTATTTTGGTTATTCAATTGTTTATTCTTTAAAATCATCATTAATATTACGTTTTGGTTTTATTTTTGTCATCAAATGTAAAAAATTAACAGTGATGATGAAGTTTCACCATAAGATAATGTCGTGTCATTTTTAAAAAATAAAAAAATACAACATTAGTAGTTATGTTTATTTTTTAACGGCGAGTGACCAAAATGAAATTAAAACGTAATATTAATGATGATTTTAAGAAAAAATAGTTAAACGACCAAAACAGAACTAAAGTAATAATTAAGTAACTAAATATATAGTTTACCCATAAGAATATTCATAATAAAAGACATGTGTTGCATAACTTTTCATTGCAGCAACCAAATATTCCAATTGCAGATTTACTGCTTAGTAGCATATAATAATATCAATTCATATCTTTATTCAAATATTTTCACAAAATACTAAAATTCAGAGATTTTTAATGCGTCGTAAACTAAATCACAAGTAGAATGAGACTTATTTCGAGTTCTATTTTTGGGCAGCTATGCTATTTATATTATTTTAGGATAAATTACACATTTAGTACTTAATTTATTAGTTTTGATTTATTTTAGTATCTAAATTTTTATTTTTTTCAAAGACATACGTAACGTTTCATTTTTATTTCATTTTAGTACACTATCGTTAAAAACTTAACGGACGGACTGACGTGACATACCTCCGATGGAAAGATGACCAATCTAAATGGTTGACCACTAGAGAATGACGAGTGGACCAACATAGTCCAGTTTCAGGTTAGGATGAAAAAATCGAAGAGTTCATCATCGATTTGGAGAGATTGAGGCGTTTTCAGGTGAAACGGAGGCCATAATTTCGTTTAGGGGTCGAAAAGGTGCGGATTGAAAAGTTTAAGCTTCATCAGCCGACAGGTGCGACGAATGGCGACTGTAGATGCGATGGTTGGTGAGCCCATCCATTAAGTTTTTAACGGCATGTACTAAAATGAAACAAAAACTAAACGTTAAACATGATTTTAAAAAAAAATAAAAATTTAGGTACTAAAATTAGTTTACTCTATTTCTATATCAAAAGCAGCAGAACATAAAAGAAAGAAACAAGTCAGCAGAGAAAAATTAAAGCTGAAAAAGAAAAATGAGAAATCTGAGCTTTACAAAGTGCGTACGATACGAATCAATTCTCCACCAACAAAACCAAACCAGACTTGTGAAATGTGTTTGCTAATGGCGTCTCCTGGTTTCTTCTCCTGCATGCTCTTGGTGTTGTTTATTAGTTCACGGCCATGTCATCTTCAAAACGTAACTCTTTCAGTTTACTACGAAACTCTCTGCCCTTATTGCGCCGACTTTATTGCCAATCATCTGGTAAAGATCTTCCACAACCAACTCTTCTCCGTCGTCAACCTCAGGCTGGTTCCGTGGGGCAACGCTGTGTTACAAACCGACGGCACCTTCCTTTGCCAGGTCCTTTTCAAATCCCAGTTTCCTTACAAACTTTGCCTATTCAGTTAATTTTAACATCCATATCAGTATATTACCCTTGCAGCATGGCCCAGATGAATGTATCTTGAATGCCATTGAAGCCTGCGCCATCTCAATGTATCCTAATCAGGTAAACCCTCTATTTTCCTGGGTTGCACTGATAAATGTATGGGGACAGCTACGAAGATAAGAAATGATAACTTTTAAAAATATAGGGTAGTAGTACCACGGAACAGTAAATATAAAATAAATTTTAACAAGATAAAAAAAATCATAAATATTCATTAAAGTTCGTAGTGAATAGAATTCTTCGACAAAAGGTAGAGATAATAGTGGATGTAAATCAAATCTTGAGCACGACTTGGATTTAACATATTCCTTTTAATTGAGGAGTGAGTGAAAGAATGAATAAGTACTGTTACAATTTCTTTGGCTTATAGAGTTCATTGCAACTTTTAAATGATTGATCCTTGCCACTTTCATAATGCAGGAGCAGCATTTCAGATTCATTCTCTGCCTCGAGCGTCTGGTCTCGGAGAACAAGCCGAATGAGTGGGTTAATTGTTTTAATACTACTGGATTGGCCACTCTTCCCATTGATTGCTATAAAAGTGGCTATGGAAACGTGGTTAGTTTAGTTTTATGATCTTTCTCTCATGTTGCTTTATTCTTCCGCTGTACTGTTCCTTGTGTGATTCTGTTTACAGCTTGAAAACCAGTATGCTGCCGAAACTGCTCGGCTTAATCCACCGCATAAGTTCGTCCCATGGGTGCTTGTTAACGGTCAACCTCTGCAAGAGGTCACTACGTTTTCCGTTGCTTTGTTTGGGTAGAGTACACAAATGGTCTCCGACTATAGGGTATTATTTTACTGAGTCCCTCGATTATTAAAAGTTACAAAGTGATCATCCGACTATAGAGTATTGTTTTGTTGAATCCATTGACTATTAAAAGTTATAAAGTAGTCATCTGACTATTCATATGTTTCAAAGTCATTCTTTCCCTTTAAAAAATTAATGATCGTCTGAACTAAACGTTAGAATGCTGATTGAGATATGATAGTCATTGGAGATTTTGGGATCAGATTTTGTTATATCTCAATCAGCATGTTAACGTCAAACTCAGATTATCGTCAATTTTTTAACATAAAAGGACAAGTTTGGAACATATGAATAGTCAGGTGATTATTTTGTAACTTTTAATAGTCGAAGGATTCAACAAAATAACGTACTTTAGCCAGATGATCATTTTATAATTTTTAATAGTCAGAGGACCATTTATGTCCTTTATTTTTTATGTTTCTATCATGTCTTGACTCTAATGCTTTGTGTGAAGAGCAGGACTTCAAGAACTTTGTTACCTACATCTGCAATGCATACAAGGGCAAACAAGTGCCCCAGGCTTGTCACTCACTTCCGCTAATGAAGAATTCGTCGAAAAAGGCAACTCCCAGTTATCCGGTTTGCTATGCTAATTAGGGGGGAAATTGAGAATATGTATAACTTTTTGTCGATTCCCTTGTATGTAGGCATCGTTGCTGAGTTCTGATACACCATACTCGATCACATTGTTGCTGATTTATGGGATTCGCTTTTGCTTCTCTCTGTTTTAGTTGAGTTATAACCATTGATCTTGGACTACTGGTTGACTGAATGATGCCTCTTAATTGTACATGAACACAACATCTAATCATATAAACTATCCCCTTCTTTCATTATTTCTTTAGCTTCCATTAATCTCTCCGAACTCACCCTCAGGCCGATGGTGAGCAGTTGTAATTGTCTCTTTGAGATGGAAGTGAAATCATGAATGTGTCAGACTATAGGAGTATTATCTGCGCATTACAATACATAGTGATCACACGTTCTGATATTGTATTCGCTGTAAATCGAGTTTGTCAGTTTATGCAAGCTCCTTCTGATGTGCATTTTCATCCTGTTAAAAGAAATTTACGATATCTTCAAGGTACTATTAATTATGGTTTGAAATTCACTAGTGCTTCACGTCTCACTATAACGGGATTTACCAATGCTGACTAAGGTTTTGATCCAGATAATCGACGGTCCACTACAAATTGTTGCATTTATTTTGGGGGTAATCTTGTGTCTTGGGATCTGAAGAAACAACAAGTGGTGTCGAGATCAACAACAGAAGCTGAATATTGAAGTGCTGCATGTGCGACAACTAGAGTTCTATGGCTTCGATCTTTACTCAACGAGCTACATGTTGCTCCAGAAGGAAAACCCATGCTTTGGTGTAATAATTCAAGTTTGGTTGCGGTTTCAGCGAATCTAGTGATGTACTCAAAATTTAAACATGTCGAGCTGGATTTGTATTTTGTTCATGAAAAGGTGATAGCTGAGGAGCTATTAGTTAATGAAGTCCCAGCTTATGAGTAGATTGCAGATACAATGTGTCGCAACTGTCTTTCGGTTGGGCCTCGGAATTGGGCTTCGACTTAAAAAATGTGGATTGAAGTCGCCACCGACCATTTTAAAACAAATTTAGGTGGGTCGGACACCATCTTACCTGATCTGCGTTTTTACCAGAAATGTGTCGGGTTCGGGAGTAGGTTACGGTCAAGGAAGGATTAGCACCCTTGAACCGCCCTTTCGGTACCAATTAATTTACCGGTTGTCTTAGTTGCGAAAATTCGAAATTTAAATTAAAATTTAACAGACCCGATTCAAATTACTTACAATTGATTGATTTGAATACCCTTAAAAGATAAAAACGTTAGATTCGTAGCGGAATATAAAATCGAATTAGGATAGCAAGTGTGCAAACATGAGAATAATAAATAAAACAAGAAAAAAATAGAAAATAACAAAACACGTAAGAAATAATAAAATATAATAAAAATAAACAATATGAATAAAATATTAAAAAACAAAGACACCAATAAAGAGAAAAAATTAATTGAGTAAAAAAAATAAAAAAAAAGGTAAAAGAAATTAAAAAGGAATAAAAATAATGTTTTCATATAAAGTAGTATTTACTAAAACAAATAAAAATAATAAATATAGAATACTAAGTAAAAAAAATAAAGATATACATGATATTAAAAAAATAGAAAAAATAAAATAAAGTAAAAATATAATATATATATATATATAAACAAAAATAGAATATTAAGAAAAAATATATATAAAAACGTATAAAATATATATTAAGAAAAAATATATAATAGTAAATGGAGAAAAATGAATACATCTAAACATATATATATATATATATATATATATATATATATATATATATATAAATAAAATATAATAATAAAAATATATATAAATAAATAAAAAAACAGAGGAATATAGTAAATAAATAAAAAAATATAATTAAAAAATATATATATAGGGGACGAAATTAATAAAAAAGTAAAATTAAAGGGTAAATTTCAAGGTAAATTAAAGATTAAAATTGACTTAGGGGGAATATTAAATACTTTAAAAAAATGAACATGCCTCGGGAGTAGATCTAGGTTCGAAACTTCGAAACCCCACCCCTTTTTGGTCATCGGCGCAACCCACGCTTTGGGTTATTCGAACCAAATCTCAAGAAAAATAACATGCACATGCGAGAAATGAACGAATCAAGGTAAAAAAATGCTACCTTTTATTTACTTTTCGAATCGTTTACAATAGCTTTGCCTTTGTATTTTCCGTGCTTTCATCTGTATTTTGTGTGTAAATCGTGTCTTACAATGGTGAGTTACAATGGCTATTTATAGTGCTTGTGGATCCTATCTTTAGGAATTTAAATCTTAGTAGAACTCTATCCTATTTTTAGAAGTTTGAATCCTAGCAAAATGTTATCCTATTTTTAGGAGTTTGAATCCTAAAATTCTATCCTATTTTTAGAAGTTTGAATCCTAGTAGGACGAAAAATGTGTGTTGACAGCTGCCCCTCTTTGCCCATAGTCGTGTAACGGGGATAGGGCAAAGATTAAAAGACACACTTTTCGTTCAGTGGAGTTGAAAATTAACTCTGATGTTTCAATAACTCCCTGTCGAATTGAGTTACGGATGACTCCTCCATCGTGAAGTCGAGTTCATCTTGAAATGATATGAAATTAAAGCTGTAGTTCGGAATTTGAATCAGCACGTGGCTTCCCGTTACCCTTCGGTCTTCTTCTCGGTTTAAAGACCTTGGATCGGAATCGAACTCAGAAATCTTCATTGACAGATAGCTTTTTCTTGACTTAAGCTATGTTGTTTGAAAATGGTTGCTTGTCACTAAGGCACGGCTAACCCATGTCCTCTTCTCGACTTGAAAACCTCGACTGCAACCGGAAAGTAGTGTGATTGATGTGTCATCGAGCTGAATGGAGTCGAACTTGACAATTTTGATGGCAGATAATCCTTCTTTGAGTTGGATATCCTTCGTCGTGAAGTTGAAATCCAAGTAAGTAGCATTGTTCCAAGTCCAATATCCTCCATCGTGAAGTTGAAATTGGCTCTGGAACCGAGAAATTGTTTGTTGACAACCAGCCGTCCCTTCGTTGTGAAGTTGAACTTGTGTTGTCTCGAGTCCAATATCCTTCGTTGTGAAGTTGAAATTGAACCTGAATGAAATTTTGTTGACAAGCAACGGTCCCTTCGTCGTGAAGTTGAACTTGCGTTGTCTGGAGTCCAATATCCTTCGTTGTGAAGTTGAAATTGGCTCTGAGATTGGGAAGTTGTTGTTGACAAGCAGCGGTCCCTTCGTCGTGAAGTTGAACTTGCATTGTCTGGAGTCTAATATCCTTCGTTGTGAAGTTGAAATTGGCTCTGAAATTGGGAAGTTGTTGTTGACAAGCAGCGGTCCCTTCGTCGTGAAGTTGAACTTGCGTTGTCTGAAGTCCAATATCCTTCGTTGTGAAGTTGAAATTGGCTCTGCAATTGAGAAGTTGTTTGTTGACAACCAGCCGTCCCTTCGTTGTGAAGTTGAACTTGTGTTGTCTCGAGTGCCACGATATCCTCCGTCGTGGAGTTGAAATCGCGGATGGCCCCTTCGTTGTGAAGTTGAGCCTTGACTTGAATATCATTCGTCGTGAAGTTGAAATCCAAGTATTGTATGTTACGGGTGGACACAATTCCCTTCGCCGTGAAGTTGAAACCGTGGAGACCCCTTTATTGTGAAGTTTGGCTTCGAGCTAGATATCATTCGTCGTGAAGTTGAAATCCACTCTCGAGCAAATTGTGTCGCTTTGAGTTCAATATCCTTCGCCGCAAAGTTGAAATTGACTCCAGCTAAAACTTGAAAAAGTTATGCATATATGTGATGCTATGGATGCAATGCTCTTAGGTGTGCCTAAAATGCATATGCAACATATGTTATCTTGGGGCTCTGGAGAGAAATCTCGATCTCCAGTTGCCTGTCTGGAATCTTGATTCTTGAATCTTCAAATTTTGATCCCTGATCTTGAATTCTTCAAATGTTCAAATCTGATGTGCATATTCTATTTTTGATTTGAGTAATGCTTCTCGACCATCTCAAGTATGTGCCTGAGCTGAGTGTAATGGTTCAGATGATGCTTCAAAAGAAGTTGTCTTGAAAGAGATAGAATTCGTTTCAAGGGAAACGATCTCAAAGATATATGTTGTTTCATGAGAAACGGTCTCAAGGGAAACAAAATTTTGTTTTAAGAAAAACTGTCTCAAGAGAGACAAAACTTAGTTCCAAAAGAAATTGTCTCACGGGGAGATGAAATTAGTTCCAAGGAAAACATATTCAAAGATTTTATTTCAAGGGAAACTGTCTCAAGAGAAACAAAATTCATCTCAAGAGAAACTTTTTCAAAGGTTTTTTGTGTTTCAAGAGAAACGATTTCAAAGGTTTTTTTCCTAAGGGAAACTGTCTCAAGAGAGACAAAGTTTGTTTCAAGGGAAACTGTCTCAAGAGAGACAATGGTGATCACGATTCCCTTCGTCGTGAAGTTGAAACCGTGGGTGGCCCCTTCGCCGTGAAGTTGAGCCAGGAATTGGATATCCTTCGTCATAAAGTTGAAATCCAACTTGAAAATGCGAACTGGATCGGTTTTGAATTAGCTCTCGAACTCGTCTGAAGTTGATTCTAAGATCTGTCGTTCTTTCAATATGTCAAATTAGTTGAGGTGTAGCTCCTCGCTACTGAGTTAAGAAACCACCATCGATTTTTTACAAACTCTTTTGAATCAGGTATCTTTCGCATTGAAGTTGAAACTTGACTCTAAAGCTACAAAAATTATGTATGCTAAAAATGATAAATGTGATGCTCTCAAGTATGTCTAAGATGCATGCAACATGAATTAATGTCATTTATCTCTTGGATAGAGCCTCATTTTTGCCTGCTTGTTCCTGCATGTGGAGGAAATGCCTTCAGAAGGTCTGATAATTCGCATTAGGATGTTGAATCCCCAAAGATGCCCCAAATGTTCCTCATTTCTTGCTTCAGCATTGATTCTGAACATGAGTTTTGTGTCTAAGAGTCACATGTCATTTACCAAGATCCACTCTAGAGAGACTATCTTGTTTGAAAAAAAATGTTTTTCTCTTTTATTTTCAAAGTTATGAAAATATCAATTAAAAGAGTTTCGAAAAATGTTTAACCAAAAGTTTTGAAAATATTGCCCCTTTCACGGTTTTACAATTGAGACGAATCATAAAACTAGAGTTCATCAGATATCAAAGAATTAATTACAATGTCAATCCTTC